TTCGTAAATTTGACGAATGGACCATCTGAGCCAACATTTGAAAGATATAATCTTGAAAAAATAATTGCCAAAGAATGTTCTTTCGAATGATAAGTAACATTCCCCCTAAAATTTGAAGTTTCTGTTTTTTCTTTTTTTTTTCTTTTTTAATTTTTTTTATAACAGCGATTTTAGTCCACAATATCAATATAATTTTACAGCAGGCTGACATAAGCGGCAAATAGATGTAAAACTAATAAAAAATAATAAAATAAAAAATTTCAGTTTTCAACCGGTTACCAGCAGCCACAACAGCAGTAAACCCGCATATGAGCTGCAGTGCATATTACGGACGCTGCTGGTGTGCCTTCACGTCTTTTATTGTTATTATTGCTTCTAAAAATTAATATTTCTATTAGTTTTCATTTAGCGTGTCGCTTCACGAATATCTTCTGGCTTTCAACCGTTGTTTTTCTCTAATTAAAATATTCAAATAGTCTGCGGTCGTTTAAAAGAAATATATATTATTATTGTATTATATAATATTTGGTTGTGACATATGTTGGTGTCGCTGGAATGCATGCATTAACTATACATTATTGTGCAATAATACATTTATTTAGTCGCAGCATTATATGCTGGTGTCTGGCATAAATACCTAGCCACCCTTTAGGAAATGCTAATGAAAATGTAGTAAAATTGGTTTTTAGCTTAAGATGAGAGCTTAATAACTCAAGAAAAGAGAATGAAAGGACGTTTCGTAAGGATCACAATGGCTTAATACTAAAATGCATTAAAAGGTTCTGTTGAAAAAATTACGCATTTAGTTGAAAACTTTTTCCCAAGACAATTTATAGTTCATGTTGAATAATTTAGAAATTGTAATGAATGTATGAAAAAATTGTATGGCTAAGAAAAAAACTTTATGTTTTCTATGAAACGGTTTCCTGTAGTCAAGTGTAGTTTCATCTTAAGCGAATATGCAGTGAAAACATCTATTTATCAAGACAGAAGACTTCGATTAGATCTGTAGACCGAGTAAAAATCAACAGCAAAATTTTTTTTTTCTAAAATGGATCTTAACAAACCTCTGTATATACTTTTTAAGCAAAATCTTCTCACTCTCTAAAAATCAATTGGGCCTAAGAAAAGTGCAAGCACGATTGGTTCCAAATCATTAACTTTTTTTTTTTTTTTCGAAAAACGGCGTCATGTCTGTGAAACAATGCTTTTCGACTACCAGGATGTCATGAAACGTATTATTACCGGCAATGAGTCTTAGATCTATGCTTACGACCCAGAAACAGACGATCAATCGGCCGAATATCGTGGTAAAGGTGAGTTTCTTCGATCATCGTGGTGTGGTGCTCTTGGAAATCCTTCCAACTACCCAAACTGTGAACAGGGAATACTACTTGAGTGTTATGCCGGTGTTAGCGCGGAGCTATTCATAAAAAGAGGCCGGAATTATGGTCCGACAACTCTTGGTTTTTGCACCAAGAAAATGCACCGTCGCATACTGCATTGATTCTTCGTGAGTTTTTCGGAAAATGTTTAACCAATATCGTGCCGCAACCACCGTATTCTCCTGATTCCATGTGACTTCTGACTATTCAACAAAGTTAAACGATCGCTCCGGAGAAACCGTTTTGATACTATTCCAGAAATTGGCTTTAACAACTGTTTCGAGGTTTGGAAAAAACGTTAGCGCAAGTGTATTGGGGCCAAGTAGGGATACTTCAAGAAGGTCGACATAGATTTTGAAGAACAAATTAAGAATTTTAAAATTATGAACAAGGATTTACTGTTACTATTTTTTGTTCTTAGTATCAAATGGAATATGCTCCTTTAATACACACGAACTGGCCCTTCTTCCCCATGCTATTGTTCACATTTTCCTGCCGGGTCTGAAACCACTTTCATTATGTACAATTTGCCATGTTGTTGAAGGTGAAGTGTATATCCGGCAGTCAGTCGGCCGTCCGGTCAGCGAGTATAGACAATCACTCAGCCGCGTTGCGCTTTAAAAAGCTTTCACTGCATTTAGAGGGCATCGACATGGAAATTATGCAGCACATTTATATTGATTACAAACATATTTGCATACAAGTATGCATTCGTACATAAAGGTATGGGGAAATGGAAAGGTTTTATTGAAAAGTAAAAGCGCGGCCATAAATTAGAGATACGCTTCGATTGGTTTATATGGGAAAAATTTGGAAATTGTTGAAAACAATTATTATTATTTCCACAATGGGGAGTTCAAAGAGATACGAATCGCGGAATGAAAAAAATAATAATAATAAATTCATAATTAACTATGAAAGCATTTAAAAACAGAAAGAACGTCAACTTCGAGTGCACCGGAGCTATAACACCTCTCACTGGAGCTTTTTTTATAGATACCAAAGGGTGTTTTTAGACATATGATTTCAAAAAAAAACAAAAATAATTATATAATTTAATTTTATGGCCAAGAATTTAGCTTCTTACAAAGACAAGTGTTTGCCAATATTTTTCGAAAATAAGTTAGAGCAAGTGACCGTCGCCACTGATTCGTTTAAACTCCAGCCGAGAAGTCCGATTTCGACCATTTTTGCAGCAATCGAGACAGCGATATCAGCAATAACACGGCGAATATTCTCTTACATGGTGCCAATCGTCTTAGGCTTATCTGTGTAGACATACGACTTCACAGACCGAAGTTCTTCAAAATATTGGTGATTTGCACCCACGCCTCAAAAGAAGAGAACGACGATATGACTAAAGATGTCTTTTATAAGCACTGACCACAGCGGCATTGTAGGAAATTTTAAGGTTGATGAGTTTACTGGGAAAGGTGCTTCAGTCTCAATAATTGTAGAATGGGAACGAGTAGTAGTTTCGTTGGTTTCCTGTGGTTGGCTAGAACTACTTAAAGCAACCACTGTGAATTGCACCACCTGGTTACCACCACCACCTTTTACGTGTAAAATTTGTTACTATCAGCAAAAAACAAAAAAGCATTATTAGAAAGCAAGAATGTGATGGGCGCGTAACATGAAAAAAGAAGTGAGAAAAAGTGCAGCAAATGGCGATAATAACAGACAATGCTTTTCCCAAGAGACTTTTTACTTCATTCATTCTTTTTTCAAGCTCTTTTCACTTCAACCGCAAGTGAAACCAAGCTGCTGCCGCCATGAACGTGCTATGCTGTGAGGTGTACCTGTCTGATAATGTCGACTAATGTCAGCCCACCCAGTCATGCGACTCACTCAGCCGGCCCGTTGCAGTAGTGACGCTGTTTGTGCCGTTATAAAAGCTTTTTGCGGGTAACGTTGACGGTGAGATGATTGAAATGGCTTGGAAACGCTTGATCGGTTAGTATTGTTTGCGATCTTCGAAGCTTGCTTGATTGACGCATTTCTCTTTTCATTTCGTTGAGACTTTTTGTTTTTCTTCTCACATTCTGCTCATTTCGTTTTTCATGCGCCGGCGATAAGCAGTCGCAGCACTCGCGTTTACTTTCAGTTTGACTCGATGTGGGTTACATCTCATCTCGATTGATGGAGAGTTGACTATAAAAAGTCGTAAATTTTCATGTATTTTGAATGCATGAATTACTGAAAGGAATTTTTTAAAACCCGACAAAAATTGGTGTAGTAAGTCAACGCACAAAATCGCTGAAAAAAACCATTCCCCGCTGGCTCATAACATTTTTGTCTGTTTTCCATTTAAGGCATCTTAGTTGGGGTTAATTTAGTATCGAGTTCGTGAAAGCGTATTTGTATTTATATAAATAGTATTTCGGGGAAGATACGGTATTTAGATATCCAGCGAAGAAGGTAGTTTAAGTTGATGTTCAAAACGCCTAGGTTTGGACCAAAAGCCCCGACGCTTATCGGTAAAACGCCTAGAATCTGCCACAAATTTATTGAAGCGGCTAATTTCAATTCCAGCCAATTGTTCGGGTTCATAAAAAGTATGGCAACCAAGATGCTTCAACCTTAGTCTGGAACGGACAGTTGAGGGAAAATTTCTAGATTTTCTTCTCCTTTTCCTCACTGAAACTTTGACAAATTCCGTCCTCCAGAATCTTTAGCCTAATCGCGTGTACAGTTCGGACGCCTATCATTGCCGTGATGTAAGCCTTGCTAAGAGATAGCAGTTCAGTAAATCTTTTAACGAACGTTCCACTTTGTGTTAGAAGGCTTTTGCAACTCTAGTTGCAGACCAACGCTTGCTGAGCGCGCGCGAATACCATAGAACCAGTGCCCGGAGGTGTCTTTTCCTGCAAGCTTTACAACGACTGCGCTGTGAACAGGCACCCAGAAGAGTCTATGTATGAGTTATGTAGACTATGTAAGTAATAGTAACTGTATAATAGCTCTGCTATCGGAGTGGCTGCATAGTTTCCTACAAGAAGTTGCATCTGCTGATACCTTGATGGCTGCCAATTATGCTTGGAGGACACTGCAGCGGTCGAGCAGTCTGAAACAAAAGTTGATTGATAGCTCCTGACATATGACTGCCACTCCAATCTTTCCGTTGAGCTTCGATCCACTCGTGGCCGAAATATCGCTCTCTGGCACCCTTAATGTATCCAGTTTCACAGAAAATGTTACGAACTCGCAATGCGTCTGCCGATTATGTCCACGGGTGCTGGCCTTCCTAAATTTCTACCCCTTCGAACAGAATTTACATTGGATTACACTTTGAACAACAATATCAGCTAGACCCACTCCAATATTTCCTTCCGTCCGGAATGTCCCTCTGTGGCAGCCTCAATGTGCCCAGTTTCTCGGAGTATGATATCAACCTTCGTAATAATGCCGACTATGTCCACGGATGCTATGTATAAAACGGTATTAAACGCCATCGTCATCGCCAATAAGACCCGCTCGTTCCACTCGTTCTAGCTTTTTAGAGAGTGTGGCTTTTCCGAGCAAATATATTCCGTAGACCCGATTTTATTTTTGATACTGTATGCAAAGAATAAGTACTAAAGATATTTAATATTAAATTTTCGTCTTTCGTTTCAGACAAATATCATTTTTCTATTGGTCTTCATCGTTGCGATCAGTGCACAAACTGCGGGTTTCGGTTTTGATTCCGCCAACTCGTGCAGCACACAAGGCGCTAAACTTTCCCGTCGTGGCAGAGCACAGATGTTAGCCACCATACCCTGCGATCTGACACGGCAAGCTTACTGTCATCTACCTGGCTCGGCATATCCTTGGCATGCGGTACGTCGTTTTGTGCACGAAAACCATGGGCTAATGAAACGCATGTATGGTGATGTGAAACATATTTCGGTGTTGCGCGATGAGATACTCAACAATGAGATCGATGTGGATGATGTTGAAGTGGCCGCCGAGCGTTACTCGAAAGAGCCGCATAGAGCACGAGCGGCCAAATACATGCAAGCTCCGCGGGAGGAATATGCCAGTATTAAAAACAATGATGTAGTGATGGAACCGCATTTTCGACCGGTCTCCACAACAACATCCGCGCCAGACGAAATAAAAGATGAAACTGGCAGTACAACCAGTGAGGCTACCGTAGTAGAAGCGAAAATGGAAGCCGAAGAGCGACCAGTGAAACCTCCGAACAGCGCACTAAGACGTAGAATTAACGGCAATTCGAATGGTGGTGGACATAGACGGCGAGTCAATGTTTATGTTAACCGTAATAGACCGACACATTCGTCGTTACGCCGACGCACGACTACAACAACTACCACAGAAGCACCGCCGTCGCTAGTAGAAAATGTAGAACAACCCGAGTTTTTAATACACGAAGAAACTATACTTGAAATACCCGAAGACGATGGTAATCTCGCATCGAATAGTGTCTATGAAATACCCACACTACAGGACGCAACAATACACAGAGGGGATAACATACAGATTATCGAATCACCACAACTCGGACAAATGCAAAAACCCCTGACTGAAGAAAAAAATAATTCCGAGACAGCTACCATATCGACCACACTTAAGGTGGTTTCCACGCCTGCCACGAAGATGCGACCGGCGGGCGGTGCAATACCGGCCTCACCGGCGCCGGTGGCGCCCACACCACTCCAACAACAACTGAAATCACAAGTGGAACGTCAACGACCTGGCCAACAGCCATCACAAAAGCTCAAACTGCAACAAGTTAATAAACCGCAGCCGACAAATGCCGATACGAGCGGCATAAAAGAAAGTTCGATATTAAAATCAAAACCAACCAACGAAAGTGAACGTACACAAACCGCCACGGCAATAGCACCCGTGTACAACAACAATAACAGTGCCGGTACACAACCGCTGAAAGCGGCGAACGACGATACAGACATCACAACGGACGCCGATAATGGGGCGACGCTGTCAAGCATTGGCGCTACGAACGCCGCCGCAACGGACGTCACAACAACCGTGACGGCAACAGCGACGGCAACCGCAACATTGGCAAACAACTCACAGCTAAAACATGAACTCACTAAAAACAAAAATCAACATATTGACGGTGAGAATAAAGCCGAACTGCCGGCAGCAGCGACAACAGTCGAGCAAACACCACCAACCACAGTCGCAACGAAGCTCACATCTACACAAGCCGAACTATCTTCGGCTGCTAAGACTACAAGCTCACCAAGTATCTCACCACCACCGTCAGCGCCACACACTGAACTGTTAGCCGGTGAGAAAATTCAGAGACCACAGCTGGCGCCGCAACGAGCACCGCAAGCTACTCCAGCGCAGACTACTCCAGTCAGTGCTTCAGCGGCTGCGTCAACGAAACCAGTGCTACGCGACGGCCAATTGTATCAAGATGCGCTGAAGCAAGAGGTGAAACCGGCTCCCAATATGCGCGGCATGTAAGTGAAGGATGGAATTAGATGGCAATTAAAGTGATCGTCGAGTTTGTTAAATTTGATTTTAGAAAGGATGGTTGAAAGATAGTAATACAAGACTTTAGTATATTTTAAAAAAAGTGTCTCCATGGAACTGTTTTTCACTAATATTCTTAAAGGGTATTTCATAAACTTTCCGTCCTAAGACAAACGGATCCACATTTTATCAGGGTACAAATTTCGTCCGGAAATTAAATTTGTGGACGGTTTATCCAAAACTTCTGTTCCTAGAATGGAAAAGGTTAGGCTAAGTTATACTGACCGGCTGTCACGCCTTACATAGATCTTCTGGTCATTAGTAAAGCCATATGGAGGTTCTGTTTAATTTGAGGTGAAGTATCATTCATCCATGACTTCAACGCGGTTTGCGAACTTTAGGAGCGACTTGATATCTAGTGTGATACTTCGTTTAGTCTTTTGAACTGCGAAGCTCCTAGATAACTAAGATGAGTTCTGGACCGAAGATGATCCGGCGTTTCTCAATCGTCATTATTTATACCCATCCAGGTCGCATGTGATACCAGTAAGATATAACCTGTTAAGTGGGCAATAACCTCCGGCAGTTCTTTAGCGACCGTTTCCTACGGAGCCTTTGAACATGATCTTTGTATGTTCTTAAAGCGTTCTGTTTCGACTTTATAAGTCTGCCAGCCCTTTCGGAAATTTCATTGTATATCCTTTTTAGAGATTTCCGTATGTCCTGTTTTCGGGTGTTTACCCAAAATGTCGAAAACTACAAATTTGTTGACCTTCCATTAAGGGATATCTCAAGTAAATACCAAATATATTCATAGATATTTTGTCTGAACTTTGGAAACAGGACTTCCTGAAGTCCCTGTCTTCCAACATAGATACTACCCAAAATAAATACTAAAAATTTACACTTCATTTATGTTCACTCCATTTCTTATTTCCAGTAATGCCTGCCCTGTAAAAGAGGAGGTGGTCGCACCGTTTTGGGCCAACAACACACGCGGCGAAGTCTTGGCTCTCCTAAATCTCTACCCCTTCGAGCAGTATGTGCATTGGGAAAAATGCACGCATGAAAATCGGCAGATGTATTGTCGCGAGGGTTGCCGCTGTGAACAACAATATCGACTACATCGTTTGTTAGCCTACGATCCGCACAATGAATGTCGCGGCATTTTCTCTGATTGGTTTCGTTTTCCCTCATGCTGTATCTGTAAATGCTATGGCATACCGTCGGAGTTTCGCGCCACATCGCGTAGTCCGCGTTCCGAACGTATGGATGATTTTGAGACTGTGCCGGAAGAAAGCGATTTCGACGATGTTAATGATGGCGCGCAAGCAGAAGATTCAATGGAATCGGTGGAAGACCAACACACGCAACATCCGCTTGATGTCGCTGAGCAGTTGGTGAGACAAGCGATCTACGAACATGCAACCGAAGATTGGTATCGACCGAAGGATGAATTCGATTTGTATGAAGGTTAGATTTAGTATTCGATGGCAACAAAGGTTTCACTAATTCCTTTGTTGCTGCTTTAATTCATTAGTTTCTAGGAAATCATACTACTGGAGTTTTGTGGGGATGAGTTAAAGTGAGTCGAAAATTAGCTGAGAAAATAAATGGTTCGAAAAGTAAAAAGTAAGGGGAAAGGACAATAAAATTTTGGATGCCAATTTATGAAGATATGTATATGTAAAGCACTGTCTCACTTACCAAGACTGCGTTTAGAGGAACTCTGAAAAAAAAAAAAATAGGGTTATTAGAATTTTTAGTGAGGAAAATACTTAAAGTTTTTGTGAGGTTAGAACTTTAGAGAATAATTACCGCTTCAACGAAAAATTAGACACGAGAATTTGGAAATTCAGACAGTTAGATATAATCGGCTAAACGGAAGATCATCATACCTCTGTTGATGTTTCAAAAATGGATTGGATTAAAGAATCCGTACCGTTCATTCTAAAAATATTTCCTAAAAAATCCGAACTCCAGATTTCAGGCAACGTTCGATTTTAATATCTTCACAGAAGTGTTTTAAGCCCTTTTTCTATAAGCCTGGTTTTATCGCCAGTATTTCATCTTTTCTTTTCAACTCGTAAAGGCCTAAGTAAAGTGAAAGCTTTGTCAAACGAACTCTTTATTAAACGGAAGCTCTCTTAAGCGGACGCTTTCATTAATCGCGCAGATTGGACTGTCCCAATATTTCTTGATGCTAAGGACAAAGTATTAAGCGGACAGAAATTCTGGTCCTGCCAGTATCCGCTTTGGGAGATTTCATCCGAAAAAATATATCTAAAAATCGAAATTTTTTTTCAATCAGAAAATCAAGGGCCTAGAGGTCAATGGCACTACGCTGACCTTGCTCAATACACATTTACCCAGAAGAGTTCAGTTTTTGACTCTTCCGAAAGCTGCGCTACACTTCGTTGAATATAACCTATGTTCGTCAAAAGTACCGAAACTTCAAAGGAACTGGTCCAAATTCCAGCTGACGAAAAAATAAGCCATTGTTATCTTCCTTATCTGGTGACGAATAATCGAAAAGTTAAACACCTGACTTAAAAAGACTGACTTGACGCGAATTTTAACAGACTCCTCACTATCCATACCTCCTCCAGTGTATTATATCGTTGGTAACCCCTGACGCTTACAGCGTAGCCTTGCCAACACAAGACAATTGCACAAGAGATACTCCATTGTTTCCCTGGTGCCCTGCTCTAGACATTTCCTGCGGTCTTCTCGATGTGTCAGCGCCAAAGTTCAAGTAAAATCAAAACAATAGTTTCTTAACTCCATTTTAGTAACTCTAGCATATGATTTCCATTTAAATTACAACAATATTGTTCGCCTACTCTAATTTTTGTAGTTGTAAGTTTATATTAATTAATTGATTTATATTAATATATTTTTTAAGTTTATATTCATATTTTTTTTCTGCAGCTAGTCGAAATTTTTAATGTTAATTCGAAATTTTCATAATTTTAGTGTTTAGAAAAGACGCCGGCGTTATATCTATTGTAAATATAGTTGTGTGATATAGCGCTGCGAAAACGAAGTTTTTACCACGAGCGAATGTACCTTGAATACTTAAAGACAGAGTGTGCGCATGCCCACGTGGGTGTGTATGTATGTATGCATGTGCATATGTATACGAAAAATGCACACTTTGCTTAAGTTTAATTATATACTTATGTAAAGTGTAAATAGAAATATATATAGCGAAATAGCATAAAGTATTTTAAGTAAAGAGAAACATGTTTTTATCATTATGTTTTCAGTTTTGAAAAATTATTATTTATATAATATATAGTAACAAA